AACACCTCATTTAGGCCAAGCACCTCACATCTTTAATGCGCTTATAGGCTAGGCTATAGCACACAACCTTGCCATTGAGGTTGTCTCAATACCCCTTTAAGCTTGCACTCCATGTTGACTCAATACATCACCCACTTAGGTGTTTCTCCGCATGTTACCATTGTTCGAGCATGTGGAGTTGATAGATGTGTCTAACCTACGATCTGCCAACAATTCTCCATCAACAACACTACTGGGACTTAAACCGGTGACTTTGGCTCTAATACTAGATGTTGTGAGATTTGCCACACTTGGAGCCCATGGGAGTACGCTAGAGAGCCCATACATATATGTTGGATACCACTTGAGCCCAAAAGCTTAAGCTATTAGGTTCTTGAATCCTCCATGTATATATAAGACATCTCATTTAGATTTCTTAATGATGTGAGATTCTTTACTCACATGTGAACCTTATCCCAACAATCTCTCCCGTTTACTTTTGAGTTCTGATTAAGTCCCACCTCATCTCCTTTATGCGAGTAAGTCTTATCAACACTTTATTTGAGCTAAGCAACCTCACATCTCTAGTGCGCTTTTAGGCCAGGCCACAGCACTCAACCTTGCCACCTAGGTTGTTTCAATGCCCCTTTAAGCTTGCACTCTAAGTTGACTCAATATATCACCCACTTAGTTGTTCCACTTCTGCATATTATCATATACTCGCTGCATTCAAGTCGAATCTTTTAATACTAGCGTTTGAGCATATGAAGTTGATGGACATGACCAACCTCTGATCTGCCAACAGTTACCACTCATTTGCATCATCCGACCTTTGGGAATGGTTGAAGTCCCACCAGGCCAAATAATTGTTTCAAGGTCTTTGATGGAAGACAGATGCCTTCGCATCCGTGTAATTTCTTGGTGATTTTGCTTGCAGAAGTCCAAAACCCAACTCTTCCTTCCCCTTCACCCATCACATTAACTGTTTCAAATGTGCTTGAGATTAGCTTTCCATTAATGAATTGAAATTCTCCACTTAAACGTTTAAATTTGTTTTCGAATATCTCTTTCAGAAGTATCGAACCTTGAATATTTGTTCTGAAGTTGTCAAAATCCATCAAGTTCAATCTAGCAATTGGATTGCTGATTTAATCAGGAACTTTAAGAACCATGGTATTAGCTGTTTTTGCAAGACTCCAAGCAACATCATAAGCCCATAAACCATTTAACTTTAAGTGTATCATTTCTAGCATGTCAAGCTCCTTTTTATGGACTTCTTTTCTCATTCTTGAAGTGAAATTTTGGAGCTCTTTTGATTCTGTAAAATAAGACCTGAAACCAAGGACTCCTTGCATCGATTCAAAGATTGATGAATCTGTCAAATTCTGCAAGTGATTCATGCTCTTTGAAGTCACAATCCATGCACACCCTTGGCTAATCATTCCCAACCTTTTCGCATTTAAGAAAAGACAATATGCCAATACATGTGACACATACACAACTAACACCGTAGTTTGCATTGCTTTGAGCATAAGAAGGTCTTCAATGATTTGATCATCTTTAGATGAGGTAGCCACTGCTGTTATATGCAATGTGGATTTTTGTATGTTCAAAGAAATCACTCCAGTTGTCAACATTTTCCCAATTATGTAATTCTATGAAAGCAACAATTCCTTTAACTTCGGCAGTTTCATCTTGTGCAATTCAGCCAAGAAAAAGAGATTACTGGAATTTTGGTCTTATCTCCTAATTCAGCCAAAAACTTAGCTTCCAAAATTTATGTTTGCGCACTGATGATGACTCCGACTTTGGCATTTTCCAAGAGGTTGAAAGCTGCATTTGCAATATATATGATTTATTAATCACAACTTTATACTTTTTTTTAGCTTTATATCAAAATTAAATTCATCAGTCATTTGAATACAAATACAACCAAATTAGATTTTTCTTCCCTTCCCTTGAAAAATTCATTTAAAAAAGCCAACTTGATCAGTTTCCTTATTTACACCTAAACATTTGTTCAATTATTTGAGAAATCAAATATAAATACAAAATTTGTTATACATATTTAGAAAAAAGTCTTTTTTATACTTTATCAACATCTATATGATCGATATAGATTATATAAAAGTAAAACATTTATAACATATATATATATATAACTGTATATTTTTTTATAGAATATAACTATGGATGTTGGTAAATCGTTGTGGATATCAAGTTTTGTTGTATTCCTAAATTACTCTTGTATAGTTTTTAATTGTTTTATAAATGTTAACACAATTAAAATTTAATTGGTTACGAATTTCTTAGTCTTTTTTTTTTGAAATAGTATTAAGTTTTTTTTTTGAAATTACAATTATAATCAATGAAGTGTTAAATCATATTCATATAATTAATTGAATAATCAATTATTATAATTATTAAATAATCAATTAATAAATTAAAACATAATTAAACAATCAAATCCATATAAACAAAATTTACCGTAAACCTCCGTGTTTTTAAGACATTCTCCTTGCCATTAGCATCATTGGCACGAATTGCCTTATTCTTTTCTTACTTCACTTAGGAATCATTAGTGAGATATATAATTTTAATTTAGTTAAAGTCTTATCAATCTTTTGCAAAGAAATTTTATTTTAAAATATATATTTTTCATGTATTTATATATGTATATATACATATATCCTAGTACTATTCACTTACCTTTAATTTCTTTATGGCATTAATTTTAATAATTTTTTAATATTTAAAGTTATTAAAATTTAAATTTTAATTACTGAAATTAAGAATATATTATTTTATCCATAGACCAAACAACTATTAGCATTAATTTTAATAATTTGATTTAGCACATACATGCATTCATGTAAATAACGGAGCAACTGCTTATATTTTTCCCTTTGGAGAGAAATTCTTGAAAATTTCTCCCATTTTAGTCTAACTTTATGTTGATGGTGAAATGGACTAATGCCAAGCATTTCAAAATTTGGCTTGTTCTTCTAAAAATGACACCCAAAAATTTATCTATAATATTAATAAAGTGATTGTCTAAATTAATAAAATTACCCAAAATTAAGTAAAATAATAATAAATATGAAATTAGGGAACTTTTTTTGTCTTTTTATAATTTTTACCAAAACATATTTTTCCTTAAGAAACTACTACTCACTCCTACATAAAAAAATTTGTCATCTTTTTTGAAAATAAATACCCATATAATTTCTCTTTTTAAAGGAAAAACCCACATGAGATGTGTACCAAATTTTAGTACTATATAAAATAAATACAATAATAATAGACAAATACGATAATAGTAGACAAATAAAATAGGAAATCTATAAAACAAATGAGACAAATGCCAAAGATCGATGGTATTCCCTTTAGTTAGAATATGGGATTTCAATTTGAAAATCTTAAATTTTAATAATTAGAATATGTGTATATTTAAAATTTAATGGGTTTTTTATATAACAAAAAAAAAAAAAAAACTGTTTGACTGATCATTGATATATTTCAAGCCTTCTCTAATTATTAGTTTACGTCATAAAGTTTTTAATTTAGTTGTTATACTAAGAACAATTTTAAATTAATTTTTGGAAAGAGGCCATCAGATTGCTTAATCAAATATTGTTTCAAAATCAGGAGAGAAGATATTGTGATATATCTAGTGCATGAGGCCAATTACTCCATTCAAATCTTAAAATAATAATAATAATATCATCTTCATCATCATCAATCATCTTAATTATTCCCAATTTCTCATTAAAACACAAAAGAGACACCCATTTCCTGTTCTTTGAGAACAAACTCAATACGTGAGGTTAATTTCAATAATTACATATAAGTTGTTAAATATTTGCGAATTTATAATATTGATGATTCATGAACGACATTATTATCTTTTACCAATTTGTGTATGAAACTTATATTTAAGTATATATATGATCCTTTGAAAATCATTACTGTTAAAAATCTAATATATGAAAGAGCAAAGAAAAAATATATTATAGTTGAATTCAAGATTGAGCATAATTGATTTATGCATTCTCATAAAAAATTGATTTATAACATATTTAAGGTTTAAATCTCAATATCATAATCCTTGTATATACTAAATTATGATTTTTTTGTGAAAAAAATCATTCACTAAAGAAAGAAGTTAATTTGTAATAGTGGGTGAAGAAAGAAATGAAAAGATCAGCATTGGTAGGAAAAAAAGAGTATAAGAAAAGTTTTTACCGGTAGATAAAACAAGCAGAGGTTCTCCTTTGGAGTCTCTCGTGTGGAGAACTATCCTCACTTCATAGTTCGAATGTGAGCTATAAAAATCGGAAATCGCCACTGAAACGCAGCTGTGGATAGTCTTCCCCTCCCTTGTTCCCATATCAAGGATAACTCCAACATGAACCTCGTCCACCAGGCTAACACCATTTTGGTTCCTCCTTAATTCAGCTTGCTCACATAGTTTGCTGATAAGGCTAAAGTAGGCTGCAAATAAGAGCAAGATTTTATTCTTTCTCTCCATCTTCATGTGGCCAAATGCTGTTTTCTTTGTTTGTAAACTTTGTATTAGCAAGTTGTCTTATATGCCTGAAAATACAGTTTTCTTCTCCCCCCATCTTATACGTTATTGAGGGCCCATTATAATTTGTCTCAGTAGTATAGTGTTTCATTTCAATATTCTGATGTTTCGGTCTTCCCTCGTAAAAAAAAGTGAGGCTCTGATTCATACACAAGATATGATTTTTAGAGTTTATATTAGATATATTATTAGCATATAAATTTATATATTATTTGTGAATCAAATAATGATATTATATTAATAATCAAATATCATCTCTTAAAATAAATATAAAAAATTAATTTTTAAAAAAATTTATTTATTAGTAAAATAATATTATTAAATTTATTTTTTTAATAAAATAATATAATCCGATTCGTTGATAATGCATAAAATCTACAATATATCAAATATAAATTCAACATTTTATATCATTTGAGAACAGTTTGAGGCCAAACAATTAATGATAATTTATTCATTATCTGACAATTCAACATCTTATATTATTATCTGGGATTTTCATAATTTAAGTTGCTAATTGCCCTTGGCAACAAAAAACCAGAATGATAACCCACATAATCCTCTCGAGATCAATTGAATCTGTTGAACTGTTAACACGGAAGCCAAAGTTGCTGTGTAGCTTGAGGTTAATATATGCACAACAAACACCCATATTATCACTACAAACTTTGACAAGTTGCTCAAGAGCTTCTCTTAAGCACTTTCAAATTATAGTAAGAAAATTACATTTAGCTTAGCTCAGGACAGGTTTGATTGTAATTAGTGTATGCTTTGGGTTGAATATAAAGTACTTAAATGGGCAAATACAAGCGTTGAGAAGGAATACCAAAAGATCATTCCAACTTGCTTCGATGGTGAGCCTTGGAGTTCATCGTTGATGGGTCGTTCAATAAGCCAAACCATAAAGCCAGTAAAAATAAAGAAAAGCAGCAGTTGTTATCCACAGATTTCCAGAAAGAGGCTTCAGGAAATCCACATTTTGTTTTTGCTGGCTTTTGGCGCTACCATTCCAATGCATAAGTCAGTGTATGGCAATGTGAAATCAACATATGAAAATCTGCTGGCAATGATTGTTGTATATCCCTCAACGGCATCATAATTCTACTCCATTGATCAGAAGAAAGAATATGTAAATCACACACTGCAATTACAATATATTAGAATTTGAAAAAAAAAAAACACCTAGCATAGGCCATTTAGCATAAAAATAATAAAGATCATCACTAGACTATCATAAAGATTGCAATCATATCATTGAGATTACATTATCAAAATAGAGTCACGATTCTTATTTTGATTCTTTACAGCAAAATAGTGCTGATCAGCAGTCATGTAATTGAAAATTCCCCGTCAATCTACTCAGCTGCCAATCCTATTAGGATAGGATAAATGATACTGTTAATACTGCTTTGTGTTAGTTACTTATCATGGAAAGAACATTATTGATACAAGTTACTTTACAATGTAAGATAAAAGTTATTGTACAATATAAGATGCATCCAGCAAGCACAGGCAAAGAAGTTACCTAGGCAAACTTCTCTTTCACGTTAGTGGAAATTGGGGAAATCAGGCGACGACCAACAAGGAAACACTTGTACAACACACAGCATTTAAGCCTCAATATGTATACTGCCTACAAAGAACAATTGAATCAAACGAACAAAAGATCTTATACTGTTGAAATAAGAAAAGAAATTGAAAAGCCAACATGAATGGTTACTACATTAGGAATCTAAGGAACAATTGATTTTACATGTCGACAATAAAAAATACTTTTACAGTCATTCAAATATGCTTCAAATGATTGCTATGGATCAAAACTAACAATAACAATTTAACCTGATTTTGAAATAAACACAAACTACAAACAAAAGCCTCACAACACACCAAAATTACATCCTATATATTGTCTTAACAATGGCACAAGCAGTGTACCAATATAAGTGAGTATCAGTGCAATGGGGAAAAGATGACCATTGCATATACTTATTCTAACAGATACACAGTACAATCCTAAGAACAGAACTTTAATTAATAAATCCTAGGACACAAAAGATAATACATGTAGCTACTTAGATTTAAAATCTCATTAAGTTTTCTATTTCTACTTTCTAGTGATGTAAATAACTTCATTCCCTCAAATCCACATGCTTTGAGTGATTAACAAACAAATTCATATCTCACTTAGAGAATGGTAAACTAAAAATCAAATTATTCACACTAAGACTTATGAGAACAGCTTATTAGACTCAAAAATCTTATTGTCACAAACGGCCATCTGGAAATTTTTTTGGTCAACTTAAATGAATATATGATAAATTTTGATAAATGAAACATAAAATTAACATTAGAGATCTTATTTCTAAGAAACCTAAAAATCCAAAGGAACTTCATCCAAGTAATCTCTACTCCATTTTAGATAAGGAATAATCCAAACTATTTTCTTCCTTTTTTTATTTCAGTAGAAGTTGAGAAAAAGTACTTATAAAATCTAAGGAAAAGAAAAACGGAAAAACACAATGTAAAAGAAAATAAAACTGGAAAAGGAAATCATATTTGTAATGACTTCTGTGATCATAATATCAACATTCCATTTGGTTCATGTTTTTGCTTTTTTGCTATTTTACTTTTTTTCAAATCACTTTTTAATATATTATTTTCACCTTCTACTGGAAAAAGCAAAAGGCAAATAGCAAAACTATCAATTAAATAAAGCCTAAACCAGTTGGGATAATAATTGTGATGATGATGGTAGAAGTGGTCGTTTAGATGGTAATCTTTATGATAAACCAAAAGTGCATTAATTTGAAATATTGTGGAAGATTATTAATAATCTTGAAGAAGGCACCTTTCATGTTATGTTGGCAATCTATTTAACTTAGGGTTAATCAAATTTAAGAAGATTCGTATCTCATAAAATATTTTGGAGAATTTGCAGCCGAATAAAAAAGTAAGACTTACCTTGTAGCTATTGCCGCAAAAGAGAGATATTAAGAAAAGATAGCTTTATACAGATCATATGACAATAATAGAGAGCACGCCTGTATACATCCACATATTTGCATGAATGGGAACCGGCGTGCTCTCTCTCATTGTCAATTGATCATAATGTGTCAATTTTCAAAGCAAAATCTGCAAAAGAAAAAGAGGGATATATTAAAAATATGTTGCAGAGAACCATTACTTAATAGAAAAGATGCTCTATAAACATGAGAAAATAAAGCTGTTTGGTAATATACTGTCATAGAACGTCATAAATTCAGTTTTCATTGGCTCCAAAGCAGTACAAATGCATCCAAATCTCATGATTCTAACAATCCTGAAAAATTAAAGACCAATGTCTAAAAGATCGTGTAACTACAGGCAAGAACCACTCATAACTACATTATCCTCCATGCACAACATCTCTATAGACAAAGTGACATCTAAGAACATTTCTTTAAAGTGATCAATGTCTTAAATTTTACAAACATAATCAACTATGAAACTCCAAGCAAAACAATCTTCAGATCTACATGAATAGAATCAAATACACAAGGAATGATCGATACAAACAAGAATGAAGGAGATGGAATTTCCTTTCAACAGACAGGAATTTGTACTTTGGATAGTTAAAAACATATTTGTAGAATTAAAAGTTAAAACATAAATTCATCAGCTTAGATTTCATGAGAAGATAGTATACGTCCGTTTAAAAAGAAAAAAAAAACATAATTTTGTAAGCATTGATACTGTAAAGAAGCAATATCACATGCAGTGACAGATGATAAGTTTGATCAAAATGATAAACTGGACAAAGAAATATACTGGGAACCTTTACAATCCTATCTATATTTTTCATTATAAATGTAGCTAGTTATTCACCAAAAACTTATCGACACCGAAGAAGATTCTGGAGTCTTCCTATCTGGACAAGCTGGAAAAGGGGAACTTTTATGCGTAGTGAAAGGTAAACAAATCAACGGTTGTTTCAACTACTACTATTGTTAAAACTCAAACAACATGGGAAATAAACCAAAATTTTCTTGTCTTTGTGTTTTCTCTATATTTCTCAGCAACCAAGAAGAAGACCAAGTCCGAACTAAAACAGTATTAACATTTCTAGAAGAAACAAAGCTCAATTTCCTTACTCAAGCCAAATTTCAAAGCACAAAACTTGAATATGTTAAAAACTTTACAGTAAAAAAAAAAAAAAAAACCCTAACCTTAAAATTCACTGAAAATTTTAGAGCATAAAACTTTCAGAAAACATTAATGAAGTTCCCAGATCCAAATCCAAATTTTCAACCACAAAATACATAAAATTCCATATTAAATTACAAAGAAACAACAAAAATGAAGCAGAAAGCACCCACCTGGCCACAGCTGCATAGTAAAAAGGGATAAAACTAACGGAGGAATGAAAAGGAGTGAAAAGGAGAGAGTCTCTTAGAGAAAAGAAAGAAGTTAGCAAAAGATTAAAAGATAAATAAATGGTGGTTGGAAGACAATGGAGAATTCCAACAGTTTTCAATCCAATTCCAGGAAAGGATGAAGGTATGAAGAAAAATATACTAATATTAGAAAAATTAATTAGTAATAATTATGAGTGATAATAAATCAGATTCAATTGGATTTTTTTAAATAATATATAATATATGATATTATAAAATTTTAAATTTTATTTAAATTCGAACTGATTTTATTTTATTAATTTAATTTAATTAATCTATTCTATTCAAATAAAACTAAATAATATAGTTTTCAATTAATTTTTAATTTTTTACTTTTTTTTCCTCACCCTAGTCTGTATTATTAATTTTGGAAGAATTATTGAACTTTCAGCCTATCCATATCACTCAATTTTTTTCTTTTTTTTTTTTTTTTTTTTTACTGAGATCTCAATCTATCAACGTCATTCAACCTTTTTTTTTTCCCATTCTTTTTAATTTTTTACCTTTTTTTAAATTTAGTTGATAATTGATGTATTACGTTAATTTTTTTAAACTAAAGAGAGAAAGGTAAGTGAAAGGTTTTTGATATGAAAAACATGATGTTTCAACGGCTAATAACTCTAATGAATTACTAAACAATCTCCATTTATAAGTTTGAAAACGTAGTTAATAATTTATTAAAGATAATTTTTCTTGGTTTGAAAATGTGGGTGATGATGGATAAAAAAAATTAAGTTTAATAAATTATTTTAAGTACGTTTGCAACATAAAAAAAGTGATTGAAAAAAGTTATCAAAAACCAAGTTCTTTTACTTTTAACATGTGGCTTTAGAAAAGAAAATCATATTACTAAATAAAAAAAACATGATATTTTTTTCATAAAAGTAAAAGGTACTTTCTCTGAGATGCCTTAAATCACGTGGTACTTTAACTTTTTTTTTTAATCGATGCTATTAATTTAGCTTTTGGCCTATTAAAATAAATTGTTAAATATTTTTTTTACTTTCAAGATGTAGTTTTTGAAACAGAAAAACACATTCTTGATATAAAAAGCGTGGTATTTTATTTTCAAGTCATGTGATTCTTTAATTTTTTTATTAAAATAATTTGTTAAATCTATGGAATAAAACATTTTTTCTTTGAAAACGTGGTTGATAATGAAAAAGTTAGGTTTAATAAAATGTTTAACTACGTTTATGGCATAAAAAAATTGGTTGAAAAGGTTAATAAAAACACATTTTCTACTTTTAAGATAGTAGTTTTTTAAACAAAAAAAAAAAAACACGTTCCTAATATAAGAAACGTGGCTTTTGCTTTCAAGACACATGGTATTTCAATTTTTTTTAATCGATACTATTAATTCAACCTTTTCCCATGTTTTATTGACTATGTTTGATCCACATCATCCTTCATTTTTTTTTCGTTCTAATATTTTGCAACATTTACAAAGCCCACTTGATTGCCTTTATTTTTTTTCCTTTTCATCTCCTTTTCTCTTTTAACATATTTTTTCCCTTTTTTAAAGAGGATAAAGGTTTTTTTTTCAAGAGGGTTTGATCCTGTGAGAAAAAAACAATTGTATTCAAAGCTTGGGGTTTAAAGAGTTTTTCATGGTTATGTTTGGTGAGATATTGATTTTTTTGTAGATTGATTAGAGGAGTTGGTGAGAGGTTGATTTGCAATTATATTTTTTGTTGTGTGATCATCATTTCAAGAATAAAAAAATTATTGAATGGGAAAAAACTAATTGTTCTTTTCCATTCGTTTTTTAGTTTCTTTTTTTGCTTTGTAAGCAAAATTGAATAAACAAAGATGTTAACTTTTTTAAAAAAATTTTAGGTTGTTGGTTGTTTTTTTAGCCATTTTGATTATTGATTTTGTGATGGGTTTTGTTGATTATTTAACATATTTTTTTCAATTTATTTCTGTGCCTATTTTTTATTTGGGTTTTTGTTTATGCATAAAATTTATTTGTCACATTATGATGTCTTATCAAAATTGTTGACTTGCACCATACTTTTTTTTTTCATTGTGTACTTTTGTCAAATTTCTTTTAACAGAAGGCTTATTGTTTGTTGTCTTTCACTGTGCTTTGTTCTTAGGAACGTCATTAGTATGTTTTTTTTACTAAATTTGCTTTTTTCTTTTTTGTTTATTTCCTTTATTTTAGTTGTTAGTTCATCCTTTTTCTTTCACTTTGTTTTGTTTCTTCTCTATTTTGACCTTCAATTCATGCTTGGGTATTTATTGTTGTTTTTACAGTTATAATCTGTGTTGGTATTTTTTTGTTTGATTTGATTTTTTTTCTTGCTTTTTTCTCTTTTATTTGTTGTTGCTTTTGTTAATGTTGTTCGTTGTGTTTGAAATATCAATATTATGGTCTTCTTTTAGATTCTTTTTTTCTTTTTTTTATTACTTACTGTTGTAAGTTTTCAATTGCTTGTGTTACACTATTTTTATTTGAATTTTATATACTTGATTTTAGTTGTTATAGAATGATTTTGAATGTTGTAATGCCTTTTTTAATGATATGAGATATATTTTTTCTATTTCTTATGAGATGTTAAATTTTTTCATTTGTTCTATTACTGATTGAAATGAAAATATCTTAGGTTTATATGCCATTATTTTGCAATTTTTTTTTGTCTTTATATATTGTATCGTTATTTTGCATCAATTTTTTTTTTTAAGTTTTTATGTACAGGTTTGAACTGTTTTTCAAAAGTATTATGAGGTTCTTTTTAAAAATTTATATTGTTTTGTATGTTTATTTATTTATTATGTTACTGTTAACAGATTAAGTATGTTATGTTAGTATTTTTTTTATATGTTTTCCATCAGTTTTTATTTTTGTTTTTTGCAGAAATTTTTTTCTTATTCTAGGATTGTGCTTTATCTTTTCGTAATAGTTTGTTTATTTGTTGATAGGTTTTTTTTATTTAGCTTTTTTTCATAGTTGTTTAAAGCTTGATTAGTTTATTTAAATTATAACTATGTTTAGTTTTGTTATAGCTTTTTTTACAATATTTCTTCATCTTTTGAATGTTTGTTTTGTATTTGGATTTGTTACTTTGATTGATTTTTTACTGTGATCTTATCAGAAATGTTCTTTTGTATGTTTATTAACATATTAAATATATTGTGTCACTTTTGTTTTGTAATATGTTTTATCAGTTGTGATTATTTATTTAAGATAATTTTGTTGAATGGTTACTATTTTCTTTATTCTTATGTTATACATATAATTTTTTTTTGCTTTTTTTTGTCAAAGAAAAATTGTTTTGTTGTTGGATTGCATTTCATTTCTTATTAATACTTTGTGTTTTGTTGGCAATGTTAGGTTTGTTTTGCTTCCATTTTTTGTGTGTTGTTGTAACTTTTGTTGTTTGTTTGTTAAGATTACCACTTTTATATGTATATTTATTATAGCTTTTTGGACAATCTTTTCTTGATGTTTTGAATCTCTATTTTGTGTTTGGAGTTGTAAATTTTTTTGCTTTTGATTTTCATTTTGTATTATATGTGTTAATTTAGTTTTCTACATTTTTTTATTTTTTTTGTTATTTTGTTTATGAATTTACGTGAAATGTTTAAGACAAATGGATTTAAAAGGTTAAACACTCTTAGATTACGTAAGATTAACAGCTTTAAGAATTTTTCTTCATCTAATGTGGTTCCATCAAGTAGTCATCCAACCTCATTAAATAAACTTTGTGATGATATTACCTTAATCAATTCGATTATTAATCAATGGTTGGACAATTCAATTGGTTCAAAATGTACAAGATTAACTGAGAATCTTTCTATTTTGTATCATTCAAATGTGAATTCTATCAAGCTTGTAGTTTCTGATATCAGATTTTTGCAATCAAATCTTGGTTTGCTTAGTGATAATTTGGGTAATCCTCATTTTCATAATGGTTGTTACACTGCTAATCGTGAGTTCTATTCTTTTTTTTTTGTCTGTTTTTATATTTTTTTTTTGTTGTTAGAGTTTTGATTATTAAATTTTTTTGTTATTTTATTACTACATTATGATCATTTGTACTACATTATATTTTAGGAAAATATTTTCAACTATTAAATCTTGGTGGGTTAAATCACATTTGTACTCATTATGGTGCACAAATGTGGTTTGATGAAAAGGTTTTAAAAGGTTAAATGTTAAATTTGGGATTAAACGTTTGGGTGGTTACTTAATTTAAGATTAAATGTTTTAATGTATACAAATAAGGATGAAATGTTATTGACTAGTAATAATATAGGATTTTTTTAACAAAAAGTTTGTTGTGAAAGATATACACAATAATAATGTGCAAAAAATTTAAAAGCCAGCTGATCTGGCATTTTAATGCTAACTACTATTACATGGCATACAATTCAATATTTTGAACAAAAGAAAATGAACCAAAAAAAGGCCCAATCATTTACCTCTTTCTTGATCTTAGTGCTTGAGATTGTAATTTTTCTACAACAGTAGGCCTTGAAACCTTATGCTGTTGAATAACCTGTTGCAGTTACTGTTGTTGGCATAATGGATTAATTTGTTGCTGCAATTATGGCTATTCCTATACATGATATGGTTGTTGATGGTTTCCAAATTAGCCAAAAGTAAAAATAAAAGGGAAGTTGGGAGTCAAAGCGGAGCTATTTACTATTCAATGTTGTTAATTTTGAGTTTTTATCTTTGTTCCAACATGTTTTGAGTTTAGATTCACAACACCATTCTCTCTTTATCTCTTTTCTCATTTTGATTTCCTGACAAAACATTTTTTTTACTGCTCTGTATATTTCCAACAATTAAGAAAGTTACAATTTCTTTTAATAAATAGTAACATGATTGCTTTGCATAGAGATTGCTTCAGGAATTTTTACCACAAAATAAAGATTTTTCTCTCTACGAACCTATTTCACCATTTCTCTTATCAATTTAGTTTTTCCTCTTTTCTTAATCCCTTTATCAATGACTTTAAGCCTAAACAAAATTCTTTTGGCTTCACCCAAATTGTTCCATTATCCATAGTATATTCCATTTCAATTTCGCATCAATTTTATTCCATTTCTTTCTTTTCTTTTTACTCAACTCAAACCCCATTCAAATCATTTAGAAGGAGAAATAATAAG